AAAAAAAAAAAAAAAAAAATACATTGTTTAATCATAAAAGAAAATTTCATTCTTACAAAAAATATATATTTGAAAGATTTATAAATAATTTTGCAAAAATATGCTGTTTTTGATTATTAATATTTAAATTATTTTTCCAGGTTATATTATTGAAAATTGGATGTATACATATTTTTATTTATATTCGGTTTTGCGAATTACAAACAGATTATCAAATCACAGAAACAGAAATTGTCAAAATGAAACTGAAATCATGATTTAAGTTCTCTTCGGAGTGTTGAAATTACAAGTCTGGTTTAAACAAACATTTTAGAAAATTCCATTGAGATGCTTTAATTTCTTCACTAGAATTTTGAAAAAGTGTATTTGCATGAGCCCTAGTCTACTAATTAAAAAAGAAAAGATAAACATAGATAAATGTGTGCAATAAGATGAAGTCTCAAAATGACTGTTTTTCACATGACATTGTTTTTTTCAAAAATGTATAGCTGGTAATAAGTTTTCTTCAAAAATTTATTGCTGGTAATAATATCTTTATAAAGTATTTCTGGGATTAAACCCCATTTTTACACTTTCATAATGTTTTGACCCCAGTTTGGGGGTTAACTATTCACCCATAGCTAGGACCCTAACAGGTGCTACCACCCAGGGTTAGGGTGGACCTGGGAACACCAGCAATTAAGAAGTGGCTCCTCAAAACCTCTTGATCAGAGGCCTTGCTGCTGGACATAGTTTATCGTCTTACCCAGGATGGCAGCAATGTTTGTTTTAAAAAGTAATAATTAGAACTATAATAAAGCTGGAATATATCAAAGTGAATTTATACATTTTCTTTGTTCTTAAGAATTTATGACAAAAATGATAAACACTATTTATTAAACTGTTTATTTACATTATTAAATTATTTATTGGAATGGTTAGCAAAATATCGATTAGTTGCCAATTGATTTGAACTTTATAAAACAGTAAATAATAAGGATTTCCTTATAGTTGGTTCACATATTTTAATAATTTAGTAAATGTTTTTCTTTATAAATTGGTAAATGATAAAAATTGTATTGCATTAGTTGTAATTATTAGTCCTTAGAATATTGTAAATATAAAATTATTCTTGTAAATTCTAATCATTGTTTTTAAAACAATAAACGTTACTTAAGAATAAAGGTAGAAAAAGTGGTTAAAAACTGTCCTTTTGAGACTGTTTTATTGTGGGTACGTTTATCCATGTTTGCCAAAAGGAAAAAAAAAGAAAAAAAAAGAAAAAAGATGTGTTAAAATCAATTTTGAACAATTCTGTTGAAGATAAGCACATCTGAAAACAATCTGTGTTTATGGAACTGACTGAAGCAGTCAATACGACAATACACTAAGCCTTAGACAATGAGCTCTTCACTTAGTAAAAAGGTTTTTTTTGAACAGATGACATAAGCAAAGCAACCACTCCAACATCAAAAGAGCAATCAACAACTGACAGTAAATTATATATTGAGATATACTATGAATATTTCTTTTCAATTTGTTTCCACTTACCTAGAATTTTATCTTTTTTTTTTGAGGTTCTTCACATTATATAATAAGACATTATAAATGAATCATCCTATGAATACTGTTAACCTTAAATCGATTAAAAAAAAAAACAAAAATACGTAATCTCCAGAATATCATTTAAACCAAGGGTTGTCAAAATTTTTTCGACCAGACGCACCCCCTTTTTTTTTTCTCTTCCTTCCCCAGCAACCTCCATTTAAAATATCTTTGTGTTGTGGAGTGATTTCACAGTGGAGGCTTGTATTTGTACTAAATCGGTCCTAAAAAATGTTCGATGTACAAAACGTTAGGAACTTTATATAATAGGTATTATGCAGAGTAATCTTGTTGTGGTTGTTGATACTTTCGTATTTGACTATCGTCTGACATCGACTGACCTTCATTTCTCTTACTACTCCTACTTATATTAGGTGGGAGAGTCTATTAACTATAGAATAGGGGTGTTTCGCCATAACACTTTGAACCTTAAAACTCGCACTGATGTTGGCATTTAAAATATTAACTAAAATGTACAGAGAGTTAAGAAATTTGGATCAGGTTCAAAATCTTCCCCTCAGTGTCATCAGGTTCTGAATCCCCCCACCCCCAAAAAAAGAGCAAGCAATGTTCAATGTAGTATTAAATAAGTCTCATGAAAATAAGTTAAAAGTTACTTGGATTGATATAACTAAGGATTTTGATTCTGTTGATTGTTGAGCTTAGTGTTTTCCTTTCATCTGCACAGAAGATTACAAAATATATGTACCCTAAAATTACTAAAATTTAGCTCCGTGTCATTTACAGACTATCACCAACCTACTGGAACTCCTCACTGACCACTAGGGGGTTGCTTGGACCCTGTTTGACAACCCCTGATTTAAACTATAAGACATTATATATCTGGTTTGCACTTTCTAAATAATCAAATTTGTTTAGAACTTTCCTTCCAACCACATTTTATATTCATCTTAAACAAATAAAATAGAATATTCAAAAACTTATCTTCCTGATTGAGAGTTTTGTAGATGGTATCCACTTATTAGGTAGATTAAATTTATTTGCAGATATCTTTAAATACATTCAGTCTATCTAACCAGACTGATGAGTAGATATTAGCTTAAAAAGTTACATAGATAAATTTACTATTAATGCTTTATTTTTTAACACTGAGCTCCCTAATTACAAAGACTGCTTGCCTTAAAAGAATTATCTGCCAAAAATACACTAGTGAACTGTGAGTTTATGTATTTTTTTTTTTTTGCAAAAGTCAATCTTTGCTAGTGTGTGTGTGTATGTATGGGTGGGTGCATGCGAGAATAGAGTTTGGATGGGAATTTGATGGAATGGTAAATCTGAGACAATTAGAAAAACTATTTTGACAGGTTTCAATCAATGGATTTGGTTTCAACAGAAAAAAGAATTTTATTTCAACAGAATTTACCTTGGCAAGAGAACGTATGATATTTGGGATATATAAGCCTTAAAATAAAAGCATATAAATTAAATATAAATAAAAATAAAATAAGCTAAAACCTAATTTCTAAAATTTCACATTTAAAGTCAAAATAAAACACTTATATACTTAGTGTGAATCATGTTATCTCACTAATAGAATCTTTGTTGAAATAAAATACTTTTTCTTTCTCATGATATTGAACAATTAGCAAAACATATCAAAAACTGAAGTTTTCCAAACTGTTATCTACACACCTATTAAAGCTGTTTGTCTGTCAGCCAGAGTTTTCCCATATCTCGCTGGAAATTTCACACACCACTAAAAACCATTCTACTAGGTAATAAAGAATTTTAATTTCTATCAGTATTTTTCTTTGAGGAAGTCATTTTGAGCCTTAAATTGAGGAAATCATTTTCAGCCTTAAATCGAGGAAGTCATTTTCAGCCTTAAATTGTGAAATGAAATAATCAACCATTATTAGTCATTCTAAACCTATTGAAAAAAAAAAAAAAAAAAAAAAAAGGAAAAAAGAGTAACAACTTTCAAATTGTGAGATATCTTAACCTTATGTATAATATAACTTATATGGCTATTTTTTATTTAAAAATAAAGTCTCATATCTCCAGAAAGAAAGAAAGGATTGGACATTTGAGTCAATAGTTTAAATTTTATCAACTGATTCTATCTTGTTATTGTAAAAGTTAACTGTACAAATTGGCCAGAGTTTGATCAGCTCAAACAACTAAGAACTAGTTTTCTGAATTTTAAACATAATTCATTTTATAGCCTCAGCCTATCAGTAACACTTGCTTTAAACCCTGACTTCTGACAGTCTTTTTCTTCCTGATTTTCAATAAGACATTATGTAGTTACTTTATGGATATAATAGTTCTCTGCTGTCAATAATGTATTTGCATTAATTCCCAACCAGGGGTGTGTGGCCAAATTAAAATGTTAGCATTCCGAATATGAGACATCGGTTTGAATCTCATCACTGTTGGTTTGTCAAGGTGATGAATTCTTGATAATATCAGCTTAGAAAGATGATACCAGTGTGAGACACTATTTGAAATTGCCTGAAAACCATACCATGAGTTGACCCAAGCCTTGTGAGTGAAACCTAGTAGACAAAGCTGTTTAGCAATGTTTGTACTAGTATGAGGTTATAAGTCATTGTGACAAATGGATTCAGTCTACTGGACTTGTTCAACTACTGATCAAGTTAACTTATGTATTCTCTACCAGAAACTGTAACTAAGGTCTGCTCAGCATAATTGCAGTATAAACTGCAGATCAGCTTTGTGCTTGAGCAGGAATCTATAAGAGGGTTAGCTAGCAACCCAAGCAGATATACTCAGAAATAAGTAAACCGTCATTTCTTACTTAATTCTTGACCACTGGAAATCACAAAGGAAGAGGCTATCAGTGGATTGGTTGTTGGGTTAATTAATATCAAAATAACTTTTATTTTTATAAATTTTTCTTTTTTTTTTTTTTTTATTTTGTTGGTGTCGCACAATTGACAGTCAATGGAAATCCTGTTCTTGAGGCATGGTGTCAACATGATTCCTCACAAATCAAGAACCTTTTGAAAATTCCTTTCAGAGTAAATGATGGCAGTTTTCTGTAGATCTACAATCTTGGTTTCAATTTTAATTTTTACTGATCTTTCATTCAAGTTTGGACATATGGCCACATCATATTAAAACACCCATTCCTGTATGATCACCAAAGTTAAGCATCATCTAGCCTGATCACTACCTAGATGGATGACTGCTTGGGATTACCAAGTGCTGTAAGCTTGGATGTTTGGGTGATGTAATGGATAATGGCTTGGAATTGTTAATCAGAGAGCTGAGTTCCAATTTTGTTCTTGAAACATGGTGTCAACGAGACTCCTTACAACTCAAGAACTTTTTGAAGAATTCTTTCAAAGTAAATGATGACAGTTTTCTGTAGATCTACAATCTTGGTTCTGATTCTAAATTTTACTGATCTTTCATTCAAGTTTGGACATATGGCCACATCATAATGAAACACCAATTCCTGTACGATCACCAAAGTTAAGCAACATCTAGCCTGATCACTACCTAAATGGGTGACCACTTGGGATTACCAAGTGCTGTAAGAGTGGGTGGTGTAATGGATATTAGCATAGAATTGTTAATTGGAGAGCTGTGTTTCAATTCTGCTCTTGTGGCATGGTGTCAACAAGACTCCTCACAACTTAAAAACTTTTCAGAGAATCCTTGCAGAGTAAATGATGGTAGTTTTGTGGAAGGGGCCTGCAATTTTGTTCCCAATTCCAATTCCCCCAAAGTGCTCTTTCAAGTTCCTAGGTGATATATAAGGTAGGCCCATTACTACAGGAGTTACTTCAACAGTAATGCTCTAATATTTCTTCAACTCTCGAGCAAGATTCTGGTACTTTTCAATCAGGTGCTGAATTGAGACCGACCATTTTATAACTTGTAAATGGTCAGCACTTGAAGATTGCATTGTGCATTAAGCTTGGAGTTGTGCCACTGGTGAGGAAAAAATTATTATTAATATATATTTTAAAGCTCTGTTATATTATATCAAGCACTATTAACACCAGCACTCAATATGCAATATGATATATATATATATATATATATATATATATATATATATATTTTTCCAAGAGAATAAAATGTCCAGGACAGAGTAAGAATATAATATAAAAGGCTCAAACATAAACCATGGAATATTAATGTTTGAGCCTTTATATATATATATATATATATATATATATATATATATATATATATATATGTGTGTGTGTAAAATAATTGCTTATGGTTTTACTATATAAATGCATTTAAAGTCAGAAAGAAAAGGATTGTCTGAGGTCAAGAAAAAGTATTACTGTTAGGTTTGGCCATTGTTAATATTTAATTTTTTTCTATAAAATGTAAATGCATTGCTAAATGTGATTTTTACTTTCTAAATCAACATAATATTTTTAAAGTTCTGATTTCTTGGTCAATCATGTGTTTGTAAATATCAAAAGCATTTTTGTTTTGTTGGACAGGCTTTGTGTTCCAACTATTTTTAATGAGCAGATCATGTGTCATCTCTTCCCCTTTCCTGCTTGTACTTATTTGTGTATAGTAAAAAGCTAAAGAATATAAATTCTATTTCAAAGTATTGAAGTAACATATTGTTGTAACCTAGAAAGGTTTACTGAATGAGGAATAACCAAAACGGAGGTTGGAAATGAAATGGTAATCTTTATAACATCAACAAAATACAATACTCGCTAGCGCCATGAAGTAGGTAAACCACTGCTAGTGGTGGACTACTTAGACAGTATATTACACCCACTTACAATAGTGTCCAACATATTTATGAGGATTGGGACATACCCATTAGTGCTCATATGTACAGTATATAACATATATGAATGAGGAAGGGAAGACATCTTGTATATTAAGGAGTGATTAAAAAGGACAAAATCAATCTGCTACAATTCTGAAAAATTCTTCAGAATATAACTTGTAAATAATTCTTAGCATATTCACTACTAACTTGGTGTTGTAACATACCTACAGACAATAATGGGTCTGTCTCCATTCATATAAATACAGTAGTAAATACTGTATGTTGGTCTGCAGTTGGAGATTCATTGTGGAATTCACTTGACTCACTTCTAGCAGTTGACTACTACTTCTACACACTGCTGGCAAATCTTATATGTGTTGTTCTTGTCCTAAGTATTATTGTTCATTACTGACCTTTGTGTGATTATTCTATTCAGTAACCTTCCCTAGGTTACAACACTTGGAGAATTGAATCCATATATAATACTATCTGTTTTGTCATTAGAAATTGTTACATAAAAGATTATTCATGCTTTATTTTGCTAAAGAATATTAAATTTATTAATACATTCAACAACTACTTTGGATAGCTGAATCCTACATAATGGCATCTGTATGTTTACTTCCCCATTACAAATTAGTTATGGTTAGTTACCATTACAAATTGCTATACAAGACTACTTATGCTTTATTTTGAGAAATGAAATTAAATTTATTAATATATTCACTACTACCTTGGATATTTTAACCCTTACACCTTGACAACTATTTTTTCTTAGTTACCATTAGAAATTGCTATATGAGACAACTTAAGCTTTATTTTGGTAAATAAAATAATATTTATTAAAACGTTTATTGCCACCTTGGATATTTGAATCCTTACATAAAGCCATCAATGTTTTTGTTAGTTACTATCAGAAATTACTATACATAATGACTTATGCTTTATTTTTTAAATGAAAATTAAATTTATTAATACATTCATTGCCACCTTAGACAGTTGAACCATTCTATAAAGCCATCTATGTTTTTGTTAGTTTTGTTGTTATCATTAGAAATTACTATATATGATGACTTATGCTTTATTTTAGCAAATTATTGTTATTAACATACCACAAGATGCATATGTCATGAGGCTGTGAAAATGTTACGATTTATACTCTTGAAGGGATATGAAAAATCAACAGTAGCTGACAATGTGAATTCACCCGAATCCCAGTTAGTGACATGATGGCTAATGTGTGCCTAAGAGCTTTGTAATTCTAATATTTAGTAATTATTAGTTAAGTATAAGTCATTATACTATGATAATGATTTAGGCTACTTAGAGAGTAATTACTACAAAAACACTAAGTCTGATAGTAGATTTAATCTTATTATAATTTCGTACACATTATTTTTTGACTTTGGTTAGTTGTGTTGAATAAAAGGATTGGTTAATTTTGTTTAGCGGTATTCCAACCTCTATGGTTTATTTAATACCGAAATCTAGATATTTTGAACACAATTTTATGGTTTCAACTAAATATATTTTGAACGCAATTATATGACTTCAGCTACAGATAAAATGTATTTTTATACTTTCATAGTGTTTTTTTTTGTTTGGGGTTCCCTATTTGTCCATAGCTAGGACCCTAATAGGTGCTACCACCTAGGGTCAGGGTGGACTTGGTAACAACAGCAATTAAAAGGTGGTTCCATTCCTCAAAATCTCCAATCTCTCAATCAATGGCTTTGCTGCTGGATGTAGTTTATCGTCATACCCAGAAGTAAGAATGAAAGGATTTTTCATATAAACCTGTAGTCATGTTTAATTTAGATCTTTTTTTTTTTATTCTTTGTTAGTGGTACTTGCCAGGGTGTCAAGTTCAGATATAACAAATATCCACTTTTATATTCTTGTTATTAAACACTGAGAAAGATTTTTTGAACTTAATATTGTTAATTTAAAGAAAAAAAGAAAAGAAAAGTGATTTTGAAGATATGAGGAAATGTTTAAAAAAAAAAAAGAAATGTTTAAGTGGCACTATTATTTATATTGGTATTTCGGTTATCTTCAAGTTAACAATTATTCTTTTTTCTTTTACCGATTTCATGATAATTAATCTTACGCGTAATTTTGAATATAAATAAATGGATATGTCTATTCATTATATAGGAATTTCCTAATATTTCAATTAACAGTTCTGAAATCAATTTTTTAGGTTTCATGATCAGGAGATTGATGAAAGAAATGGCATAACTCAGAGTTTTTGTTTTGACAATGATGTTCACTCCCAATGATGCACAAGGCCCAAGAGCCACTCGAGATAGAGGGTTTTAGAGGCACAGTTTATGAAGATATGTGGGGAAGATAATGGTTGAGTATAGACTTGAACAAGTTAAGATTGTAGTGATCAGGGAAGCATACTCTTGGGAGTTGGTTCCACAAAGCAGTAGTTTATGCGAAGAAGCTGCTTAAGTGGAACTTATATCTCACCAATTGAACATAAAGTGAACGAGGGTGATTTGCTACAATGTATGTAGTATGGTGGATCTCAGCTGTGAAAGTTAGAACTGGTGGATCTAAGAAATGTAGTTTATCTGAACCTATTCTCAGGAAATAGGGAGAGGCTTGCTATGTTTCATCTGTGGGGAAAGAGGTTGTAGGGTGGAAAATAATTTGTCACCTACAAGATGCTTTTGAGCTCTATCAAGACTGGAAAGTGAAGTCTGGGTAGCTCCTGCCCATATATAGCAGCAGCACTCCATTTTCAGCCTGATCTGGCTCTTGTAAAGGTAGAGGATAGCAGAGACGCTTTTGGGCTCTATTAAGACTGGAAAGTGGAATCCGAGCAGCTCCTGCTCATATATGGCAGCAGTACTCCATTTTCGGCCTGCTTTGACTCTTGTATATGTAGAGAGTAGCAGGATGAGTCAGGTACTTACTGGAGTGGTGAAAACTTTAATTAGTTTAAAGCTAATTCCAACTTGTATACTTATAAGAAAATAAATTGTTGGAGAAAGTAAGAGTATAACAAAGCTAGAGGTTTTATTTTCTTAATTCTCATAGCCAAACCGAAATCTATCTATAACTTGACTAACAAAAACAAAAGAGGAACACTGAAACCCTTTTTAATTTCTTTTTGTTTAGGAATGATGCCCTCAAGTACAAAAATATTAAGATTTATTCAGGGCTAGCTTAAAAGCCACACTCCATTTTAAGCTAGGTCCTGTGGAGGGAAAATTGGGCCCCTAAACTAAAGGGACCTCTAGTCCAGCTTAGAAAACAGCAATGGTAGTTTGAAGAAATAACTTTGAATTCTTCAATTCACTTCATGGAACTTCAAAACCTCATTTTAACTCTGATTCAGATTAAGTTCAATTCTGACCAAAAAACTGATTTGGGCTGAAATTCCAACTCAGGTTGAAAATTGAGTTCTTCAAATCACAAACTTTGTGCAACTTCAAAACCTCACGTCATGAAACCTCTCATTTTAACTCTGATTCCTTGGCATTTTGAAGAAATAAAATTGATTCACAAAGTTTTGGAGATATTTTAAAATGAATTTAAAATAATTTTTTAAACTCACTAATTTTTTCAGTTATTTTAAAATTCAAATTTTTAACTGTTCCCTTCTCATCTGGACATAAATCCCAATGCTGGATGTTCAAACACCAGATGAAGGGCAGATTTTCAATCCTGGAGTCATCCTGATTCCAAAATGGTATAATATGTCTATGCAGAGCAAGTATAGCCTGAGTTAGTGGGGTTTCAGACACATGGATGAACAGGCAGAATTTA